AGTACTATATAAGAGGAAGACATAGCAATGTAGATTGTTTCTACTTGGCACAAAATTATTTTGAGTTGCCTAGGAGAACGATAAGAGAAAATGCAAATTTTATATGCTTGTTTAAACAAGATTCTAAAAATGTAAACCATATTTATAATGATCATGTTTCAAATGATATGAAATTAGATGAGTTTAAAAAGTTTTGTAATGAAGCTTGGTCAAAAAAGCATGGATTTGTTGTTATAGATTTGTCTTCTGATCTATTAAATGGAAAGTATAGAAGTGGATTAGATTTATTTTATTATCCAACTTCTTTGTGGAAACAATAAATATATATTTTTTAAAAAATATATATTATAAGATTTAGCGAAGCCTAAGTTCCAAAAGAACCTAAAGAAGAAGACCTAATAATGGTATATTCTTAAATGGAGAATTTTCTCCTAATAACAAGCCTCTACCTACTGATGAATAATTATTTCCATTTTTAGAATAATATCCATCTAAATAATTATAACTACCATTCCATGGGTTTAAAAATACTCCTTTTCCTACTTTTCTAATTTTAAATCCATAACCATTCTTTTTTCTATAAATAATACCATTTCCAGCAATTTTATTAACTATAGTACTTCCAGCAGCTGCAGCTGTTCCAGTCAATAATCCTGTTGCGATAGCTGGAACAACTTTTGACGCAATTAAACTTCCAATTATTCCTAGCATAGGTAAAAATCCACCATCTACTTTAGCATTATGTTTAAGTTGTGCTCTACTCAGTGAAAGTGTTATACCCTTATTTTTTAAATAGGCTGCTTTCATTCTGTTTCTTTGTGAATTTGTTAAAGCTATTTTGTGTTCACCATTTAAATCTTCATATGATAGATTTATACTAGCATTAGTATCAGATTCAATTGCTTTTTTAATTTTTTCTTTCTGAGTATCTGAAAGATTGATAAGAGTATCATAGTATATTGTCATTTTTATATATAAAATAATTTTTTTAATTCATTTTAAGTTATTGCTTTCTGTAATGCTTTATACTCATCATCATCTATTTGCCCCTGTCGTAACAACTCATCACAAATAGCAACAATCTCATTTCTTGTTCCAGTATTTCCTGCTTGTAAACCAGCTAAGCGTAATTTAAGCATATCAAATAGTGCATTTGGATCACTAGGAAGAATAACAACTCCTTTTCCAGACTTTCCAATCATCTCTTCCCAAATAGGTTTTATTACATTAGTGTACTTATAACCTTTAGATGATCTTGGTTTAGCTAAATTTAAATCAGAGCGGATTGCATCTGTTTGATTTAAAATTTCTTTATACTTATTACGATCATCGTTAGTATATCTAACAGGATGAGATTTTACTATGATTTCCCAAAGACCAGGTGTACCAGTGTACTTTTTACCTTCAATAATTATATCATTACCTTCAATAGTTATTGGTTTTTTACCAATGTAAAATTTTTTATCACCTTCATTGTAATGTATACCGAATATATCATCTGATACTTTTTTACTATTTTTAGCAGTATATAACTTTAGATATTCTGCTGCGATAGGTCCTAATGACATTTTATCTACAACTTCAGGTGGCATGATTGATTTAGTTTCAGAATCTACTAAAGCAGGATAACTTGAAAAAGTATTAGCTATTTGATCAGCTTTATTTTCTAATTTAGATATACATTCTTTTATTCCAGATTGACTATCTATTATTGGCTTGTACAATTTTTCCAAGTTAGTCTGTAAAGTATCATAACCTAACTTTTCATTAACAGAATCTTAATAAACACTTTTCTTTAACCCATCAAGTTCTTTTGCTATTTTTAATCTTGCATCAATATCTGTAGCTTTTGCATACATTTTTATATAAGCAATAATTTTTTAAATCACTCTATGATCCTCAGATCCCTAAAGGGATTAAATCAACATATATTATGTTAGTAATACATAATATATGTTCAAATAATACATAATATATGTTTTTTTTATTTAATTCTTAAGAGTATTATTCATCACTCCTATATTCTGATTTTTGTTAAATCTCATATTTAGCAATTCCATAGCTTCTTTCATTGCTTTCTCTTTACCTTGATTAATGAGTGACTCTTTAGTCTGTTCATCTATATTATTTTTGGATTTTGTTCTAATTTGTTCAGTCATAGCTTGAAACTTTTCAAGTTCTGAAAGTATCATATTAAATTCTACATCATCAATATATTGATCTGATATAGCTTTAGAAATAAGACTACTTATTGTATTTAGTTTTGCATCAGCTAGTACTTTAATCTTTTCATGCTTTTCTGCTTTTATTGCTAATTTTTTAATAGCTTGTGATCCTATTAATGATAATACGCCCATACCTAATGCTGCACCTTCACATGCGATAGCTACTGGTGTTCCAACTATTGTTGTTAAAAAACCAATACCAACAGCTCCAAGTGTCATAGTAGTTGCAAGTAATGAATTATCGATTGCTGAAATTATTCTTACAGCTCTGTGATATTTTTTACTTAGCATAGCTCTTCTATTTCTTTCACATTCCATTTTATTTTGAATTTCACTTATCTTATCTAATTGATATCTCTGATCTATAGATTGTGGTGGTGCAGATGGATTTTCTGAAAACTGGTTAAGATCTGGATAAAGCTGCTTACATTCATTATTATATCCATTATTACATAGCATTTCTTTTTTCTATAAAGAAAAATTTGTTTTAAATCACTTTTGTGATCAATGCTTCGCTAAATCACTTTTTACCAAAATTAAATATATCTTCATCATATATAGTTTCTTTAATTACTTCTCCTATACTTGATAATAAAGATTTTACAGATTCTTTATCACTTTTCTGTTTAGTTCCTGAGTCATTTTGTTGTCTAATTTGTTCTTCTTTAACATGTTCTAAAGCATCTCTATGTGATATATAATTTGCATTTAAAACACCATTATAAGTTGATATACAACATAACAAATCTCCTTTTTTAATGTTTATATCTTTTTTATCGTTATTATATACAGTTATTTTAATATCGTCAGTAGACTCTGTTACAATAGAATTTAGTAAATTTAGTTCTGGTTTATAATTTTCTGCAATTGAAATCACTATATGTCCTTTATCTATTTCAACACCACACATTAAAGAAATGTTATTATATGAATTTGATTTTACTGTAAAATCTTCTTGTGCGAATACTTTAATATGTCTATCATTTATTGCTCTATGTTCTAAATCTGAATTAATATTAAAAGTTATTCTATATTGTTCATGCTTTTCATAATATAAAAACATTCTACTATTATACATTTTATAAATGTAAAGATTTTTTTTAAATCACTCTGTAATCCTCATATCTATTTTGTTTTTAAAGTTCTAGCAATATAATTTAAAATGCTTTCACCTTGATGTAAAAAGTTACACTTTTTATTATCATTAACATTTTTATATATTAATTTTTTTTCTCCTTTTTTATTTTTCTTTAATTTACTCTCTACTAATTTACATGGAGTATAATGACAAATTTCTACATTTTCTTCAATTTCTTTAAAAGAATGAGCATATTTGCAATTTATATTTTTACATTCTTTTTTATCAAGAATATATTTGCATAATTTAGTTTTAGCTTTTCTTAATTTTAATAATTCTGACTTTTTAGGATGAAACAATCTACACTCTTTATTCTTACATTTAGGGTATTCAGAACATAGAGATAAATGTCTATATTGACATGAAGATTTAGTGCATATTAGTCTTTCCTTTACAGTACAACAATAAGGAATATCATGATTGTATTTACATTTTCTTCCAAAAGGACAATAATTATCTTTTAAAATATTTTTACAGAAAATGGGTAGTTTCTCTACAAAATGAATTGTTGAAGGTTTTCCATCTTCAGTAAAATTAATATCAACATTAAATGGTTTTTCAAAACTAAATTTTCTTTTTTTGTAATGTTTTTTAAAAGAAGTATTATCTATAGCAGGATAATCATCATTAATAACATTATAAGTTGGAACATAATTAATCCATTTCAGCTTATCTTTATGCAGTTCCATGATTTGTACTGTTTTTAAAGGAATTGGAACTATAGGTTTTTCTTTAACTTCATCTTCATCATCAGATGTAAAATAAGTAGCTTCATCAGATGTATAATAAGTGTCATCTTCAGAATCTGATTCTTCAAATTCAAATTTTAATATTTCTTCAAAAAGTTTAAATTCTTTTTGAAATTCAGATATTTCATTAATTTCATCATCATTCATTTTTATTTTTTTATTATTTGTAAAAATATTTTAAATCAAAAAATTGAAAATGAATTAAATAATTTTCTTTTATATAAAAAGAATGGAAAACGAAATGCAAAATTCATTTTTAAAATCAATAGAACAAAGATTAAGATTAATAGAAGAAAAATTAAATATTATTGATATTCATGATATTGAAATGACTGAAGATTCTGAAGTTACTACAGTTACTACTACTGAAGTTACTGAAATTACAGAAACTACTGAATATGATAATGATATTGAAATGACTGAAGAAGATGATGAAGATGAAGATGATGAAGATGATGAAGATGATGAAGATTCTGAAGTTACTACAGTTACTACTACTGAAGTTACTGAAATTACAGAAACTACTGAATATGATAATGATATTGAAATGACTGAAGAAGATGATGAAGATGAAGATGATGAAGATGATGAAGATGATGAAGATGATGAAGATGATGAAGATGATGAAGAAGTTACTACAGTTACTACAGTAACTACTGAAATTACAGAAACTACTGAATATGATAATGAAGATGATGAAGATGATGAAAGTACACAGAATTAAATATTTTATTTTTTTTTACAAAAAAATAAAAAAATTGAAAATGAGTTAAATAATTTTCTTGTGTATATAAAAAAGAATGAATCAAGAAAATAATATTGAGAATAATAAATTTTTAATAAAACCTTCAACTCAAATATATTATATTACTACAATATTAAAAAACTATGGGTATGAACAAGGTAATAAAGTTGATTTTGCTGCTAAAATAGGAAGAATTGATTTATTTAAATTATTAATTCAATTAGGTAAAAAAAGTACAGAAGAAGTACTTAAATATTTACATTCGTTAGGTTATAAAGGTATAGAAGATGCAATAGATAATGCCGTAAAAGAAGGTCAACTTAAAATATTAAAATATTTACATTCGTTAGGTTATAGAGGACCTAATGATTTAATTAATATTGCTGTAAAAGAAGGTCAACTTGAAATATTAAAATATTTACATTCGTTAGGTTATGAAGGTATAGAAGATACAATAGATGATGCTGCTGAAGAAGGTCAACTTGAAATATTAAAATATTTACATTCGTTAGGTTATAAAGGAGATGCTTGGACAATTCATTGTGCTGCAGAAAATGGACATCTTGAAGTACTTAAATATTTACATTCAATAGGATATAAAGGTACAGAATATAATGTATATTATGCTGTTGAAAGTGGAAATCTTGAAATTATTAAATATTTACATGAATTAGGGTATAAAGGAAATGAATATGCATTTAATTGTGCAGTAAATAACCAGATTTCACATGAATTAGGGCATAAAGGTACAGGTAGCTACCTTGAAATAATTAAATATTTACATGAATTAGGGTATAAAGGTTCAGAATGGGCATTTAATTTAGCTGTGAGAAATAAATATATTAATACTTTTGATACACGTAGTGACTATTAAATCTAGTAGTGATAAAGTTAAGCAATGCTTCTACTACGCATAAACACTACTACGCATAAAAAATAACGCATGCGCACAGATCTGAAAGATCAGTTAGCGCACAAGAAAAAAAATTGAAAATATATTTCTTTACATAAATTATAAAAAATGGATTGTGCAAGTAAAGATGTAGATATTAAATTAGGAAGTTATAAAAGAAGATTAAGTTTAGCTCGTTATTTGCAAAATAAAATTAAATTACATGCTGAAAAGTTAGAAAAGGAAAGATTAGAAGAAGAAAAGTTAAAAACACCAGATCAAATTTATTAGAAAAATCACGTGACGTCATGCAAGAATTTTTCGTCATATTTCATAACAAGAAATAAAAATTAACACTTATTTTAAAAAATTGATTTTTTCAAATTTATATAAATTTGAAAAATTATTTCTTATATAAATAATTATTCACATCATGGTTAGAAATGAACCCTATATTTTTTAAAATATATGGTTGAAAATATGGTTGAAAATGAAAATGGCCAATAGCCGGCAAATCTCTTACTACTTATATATATATATATATATATATATATATATATATATATATATATATATATATATATATATATATATATATATATATATATATATATATATATATACATATATATATATATATATATATATATACATATATATATATATATATATATATATATATATATATATATATATATATATATATACATATTTATATATATATATATATATACATATATATATATATATATATATATATATATATATATATATATATATATATATATATATATATATATATATATATATATATATTTATATATATATATTTATATGCATATGAATATATGTCAAATAATGTACCATTTACAAAAAATTCAGCCTGGGAACAAATAAAGTCCTACACCCGAGATTATAAAGTATTTTTTTAACTATTTATAACTAAATTTATATTCATCGACAAATTTAAATTTCATACAATAATCTCTTAGTGATCAAAAATAACGACAACATAAAGTTTAAACTCCCCTCAACTTGAGGAGCCTGTAAACTTTGAAGGGTCATAAAAATTGAATACTTAACAATTCCGTTACAACATCTGCCCAACTAGTTACCTAAAAATATTTCTCAATTCTTTTAATAGCAGCTTATTTCAAGTATTCATGGGACATTAATAGAAGTATTAATAACATATTATGGGACATAACATTACATTACATAACATTAATAACATACTATTGGAAAATAAATAGAAGATCAAACTGTTCTTGTCAATCAAGTATAGAATTTTTAATCATTCTCAATTCAAATTTCTTTGTAGAATCAGTGCTGGAACTAACTCTAAACAACAACATCATTGATCTAGTAATTACAAATGATTCAAACAAGAGATAATTAACGCTAATGATCCAATATCTTAGTGAAAAAATAAATTGCGTTTTACACTCACTTCGGACCTTTACCTAAATGACTCACACACCATACATAAAAATCAAAAAAATATCAAAATATATCAAAAGGTAACTATTCAAATTTAAATTCAACATTAAATATATAATAATAATATGTCATTCAACAGCATAAATATAAAGCAGTAATATGTAAAAAATAGTATTTAAAACAAACTAAAATTGCCCTTTTGTCCCAGGCGGCATATATCCAAGGAACGCCTAAAGAAATTTAGTTATTTAAAAAAAAAAAAAAGGTTTTTCATATATAATATAAGAAAAATTTGATAAAAAAGGGAGACAGTTCTCGGCCGCCCTGACTGACGGTCTTCTTTATTCTTTATCATATCATTCAAATTAGCATGACTGATATTAAACATATTATCAAGTTTATTGCTGTATTTTTTTTGATTTTGGAGATCCTTTGTATTTAATTAATCCAACATGCTGGTTGTTATACAAATCTTTAACTTTTGAACTCTATCTGGTTTATGTCTTATCGGTCTAGATTTCATCCAGAATGGCAACACTTGATTATATACTTTCATTGCACTTTCGGCCACTTTTTTGCATCCAGAGAACACAAAGAATACAAAGTTTCTCATAACGTCACGACCAGAAGGTAGACGTGCCCCTGTTATCTTGTCACATGGATGTACAATCAGCCAGATTATATCGCTACTTCGAGTAGAGGTGAATTTAAAATAATCAGTATTATTCAGTTATTATATATATATGTATATATATATGTATATATATATATATATATATATATATATATATATATATATATATATATATATATATATATATATATATATATATATATATATATATATATATATATATATATATATTATATAATTATATTATAAATTGTAAAATTTTTAAATATTTAAATTAGACAGCACACTATGTCATACATGTGTGACTTATATTCAGTAAAATATTCAGTAATCAAGACATAAACAAAATGATAAACTAAAAATCTACTAAAAATTTATAAAGATTTAAACGATATTCGTATACCAAAAAATCTGTATCAATAAAAATCTGTATCAATAAAAATCTGTATCAATAGTAATAAAATTAAAAATAATTTTATTAAATGGCACAATAATAATGCCAAAAAAGCAGATAATCAAAAAAAAAAAAATTTATAAATGATGATGTGACTATAAAAAAAGACTTTTAACTGATTACAAAAGAAAAACAAAAGAATTGAAAAATTAATTATCGACAAATGCAAACTAAACCCAAATTTACTATGCAAATATATATATATATATATATATATATATATATATATATATATATATATATATATATATATATATATATATATATATATATATATATATATATATATATATATATTAATAGCCGGTGATAAAACGGAAGAAAATGGTATTCTAATTCTTCTGTTTAGACTCCGTTTATTAACCGCTCCGATAATTTTTTCAGTTGTTAGCGAGCTCCATTAACTAGTTTTTGGGCAGTTTTTTTCATCGCATCTAATCTTTGAGATGCCAACAGACAATAAAACTGTTTAATTCAGAAATTACAGCCGTTGATTTTTTTTATTATTAACTGCTGCGTAAATTTTAAAAATTTAATTAAAACACGTTTCAATACGGAAAAACGTTTATAATTTATAACATAAAAAACATTAAAATAATTTATTGTCCAAAATGTTGCAAAGCAAAGTCATCATAAAATCGAAAGTTTTTTCAGCAACTATGTCTTCATTATTATTTTCATAATTTTCAAGTGGATTGTCATCTATGTCCATATGATTCGTAAACACCGGGAAAGGAATTAACTGGTAGTGTAGGTTTATTTTTGGAACTAAGTAGACTTTGGAGATTTTTTGGAGACTTAAACACTGGTGCGTATCCTGCTTTTTTAAAAGCTCTTCTTAACTTAGGACTGATTCCAGGGATCCAGGCTAAAGACGCAATTCTTTTTGAAGACTTTAAGAAATGTTGATTTTTCGAGAGATCTTTTTTGTTGTTGTTGTTAAGACTTACTTTCTTAAACTTAACTAGTTTTTCCATACTTTTCCTCTCATAGCCGTTTTATACAAATACATCGATAAGAAATGACAACTCATCATCAATGTTATTTATTGTGCATAAACGTAATGCTCTATGGACGAATCCAATAAAGACACAATTGATAATTTTAGGGTCATGGCACGAGTTCGGTTTACTTTGAACGTTTGTGATTGCAGTTTTGCGATGTATTTTAAAACTATATGTACCGGTTTTATTGTTGGTAACTGAAACATCAAGATAGTTTAAGGTATTGGTTAAGTCAGCAGATTCCATTGTGTTTTGAATGTTTTTGTGTTGTTTGTTAAGTAGATCTAAAAACTTTTGCGCATCTTCTTCTACCTGGAACCTTAAATGTATACCATCGACATATCTTTTAAATGATTTCACATTGATGTTATATATATGATGGTATCATATATATAATCAATAATATAGATATCATGGATGATATATATGTATATGTATATATACATATATGTATATGTATATATACATATATACATATACATATAATGTCGGGCAAAATATTGCCCGACATTAATTGGTCGAAGGAAAATGTGGATTGGATAACTGTTATTGTTACTGGGAATGGCCAAGAAAAAACTGTTACCTGTTCCAAAAATGAATAGAGGAACAGGAGAGGCTCAAGCAAATCCATGTATTGAAATATTTAAGAAATTAAATCTGTGTTCACAGATCAAAGGCCTTGTATTCGACAAAACATCATGCGCAATGGATGGCAAAAGCCATTTACACACTGAAAATCTTTCTTTTTAAGACTCAGTTCAAGGTAGCGAAAAAAAAGCGCACGTAAGCACCTCTGGTTTCTCTCTGAGCATCTGATTGGCATGGCCTTTTTAGATGACAAAGTATCAGCATCAATCAAAAAAATAATGTTACAAAATCTACATCGACCAGCATTGGCAGACACTCCTCGGCGTGTAAAGTTGACAAATAAATCTGAACAGTTGAAATTGGAGGATCTTGTGACAGGAAAAACGATATCTAACTTTGATGTTTTTATGGAAAAAGGGAAAGAAAAGTCACAGACATTCCTTAAGAAACCACCAGAACAGTGGACACCTGATCCAGCCTTCACGAAGTTTTGTGAACTGGCTGAACAAATGACAATTTCAGCTATATCATTTATATGCTGTAAATGTAGCTGAAAGGGGAATCAGTCTTATTGAGAAATACAATAACACACGGACAAAAAACGAGGAACAAAAACAGCTTATTATTCAATTAGTTGCAAACCATCTCAAAAACTTCCCAACCCCAACTCCATCAAATACATCACTTACGTCACATATTATTAACTGTGGAACTGTGGTACAGTTTATCTAAAAACTGTCAAATTTTAAAACTAAATTCTTGATTAGACTATAATTTTTAGTTACATTTTTTAATTACAACTTTAACTTAATTTCTTAATTTTAACTTAACTTTTAATTTTAATCTTAATTTTTAAATTGAT